CGCAGCCAATTTCGACTTTTTGTACTACTTACTACCAGCGCGAGTTGTGATTGGCCACTGCTTTTCCGCTTTCTGCTTTTCCGTCAAGGTGTAAACGCGCCCTTAGTGTGACAACTTCCGTCGCGCTTTTTCCGCACCGTGTGATTTCACCCTAAGAGTTGCCGCGTTCTGTGTGCAGGAGCCATTAGTTAGGAACGTGTCATGATCATCGTTCGCCCTTTTATTGCAATATCTGTTTTAATGTAATATCTGTGCATTTTTAATTGATCCAAATAACAATAGTACATTAAATGCGCTATTATTAAAAAGAAACGTATATAATGGTGTACACGTGTTGGGTGTGCAAGTGGCGAGGAGATAAAGAACCTAAAAGATCATTTCATAGGTACATAATAGGTTAGATTTGTGAAAAGCTTAAATAGTCATTTATAATTATTTTTAATGAAAATAAAAAATAAATAATGAAATAAATATTACAGATTTCCTTCTGATGAAAATCAGAGAAAAAAATGGGAGCATATCCTAGGAATTAATGATGTAGTTTTGGGAGTTCGAACTACAATTTGTTCGTTACATTTTACAGAAGACTGCTTTCATTATGGTGTTGATGGAAGAACATTATTAAAAGAGGACAGTTTTCCATCATTACATCTCTCGACACCAGGTAATAATTCATTGAATGAAACAATATAAAGAGATTTTATATTCTGATTATACTTCGTTATATTTTTATATGCAGCAGTTGTATCTCAAGAAAGAACTGAATCTTTAACTAATGCGTCTGAATGTATTATTAAGAACATTGCCATAAAAAGGTTATTGTTTTATTATTTTATCACTGATTACGAGAATACAGTATATATATTTTAAAGCTTTATAATTCCTGTTGATTCATTTTTATACGTTTAGATCTGACAAAGTCATTGAAGATAGAATTCCAAACAAACAAATTTGTTTGGAGAATGGGCCTTCGGAAAGATCAGCTACTTATGAATCTATAGAATCTAATTTGCCGTTACAGTATTTAAAAAGACAATTGATTGCAAAAAATAAAAAAATTTCGTCTTTAAAACGGCAAAATCGGCGATTAAGTTTAAGTAATTCTAAATTAAAATCTCGCATAAAACAAATGCAGAGCGAGAATGCAAAGTTAGTAACAGAAAAAAAATTGATGCGTGTAAGTATTTCAGTTGCTAAGATAATATCAAAATCGTGAAGTTTAATGCAAAATAATAATGTAAATAATATTTATCATTTTGCAACAACACAAAGTAAAAAAATAATAGATTAATGAAAAAATAAAAACTAAATTATAATTGATAGTAGTATTTGTATATAGTATAGTATTTATATTTTATAATTTATATTTGATAATAATGTACATTGAAGTTGTAGATCAAATAAAAATTTCCACATACATGTTTAATAATTCTTCTATTTCAGAAAAAGAATATAAGACCATGAATTTAGGAGTGAAATTTTATACTACAAATTTTGATCCAAAGTTTTATCCAACATCTTGTAACAAAAAAACCTATTTTTTTTACATTTGACGCATGTCATGCCATCAAATTGGTACGGAATACATTTGGAAATAAAAAAATATTAACAGATGGTGATGGAAATACAATTAAATGGAAAAAATTATAGTTCAGCATCAATATCAATATGATTTGTATGGTAAAACTAAAATAAACATCATATAAATTGAGAAAATAAGAGTTCGACTAGTTACTCAATTATTAAGCTATAGCGTTAGTAATACATTTACATTTTTTTAGAACAACAGTCAAACTACCTGAGGTTTTAGAGTTTTTGATACAGGAAAATTTTGCATGATGGCGAATAATATTTTTAACTTAATTGTTGTGAGGAATTTATGCCGAGAACGACAAAAAATTTCGAAATTGAAATCTTAAGAAAAATTTTTGCAATAGGTGTTTTAAGCCTTAAGCCGTAAGAAATGGACGAGTCATAGTCGATTATTCTCCTCGAATTCGACTGCAATTGATGAAATTCTTAAAACACCTATTCATGGTTAGATGATTTATTATATTAATCAATACTTCAAATTGTATTAAATTATATAAGTGTTATTTATATTTGCATATATTGTATAATATTAACACCTTTATTTTATTTATTAATTAATTTTCTAGAAATTTATGAATAGCTTTCAAAAACAATATCGGGGCTATAGAGCGCCCTATTTTGCTCGAGTTAAGTACGCCAATGAGACCACATTTAATGCGCATGCGCGAAAACGGGAGCCTGTCTAACAACACTGCCTTAGCGGCTCGTTCGATGCGTCGTGTTGGTCTCTGTACGTTCTTCGTTCGAGTCTCGTGTTACGACGGAGAGGCATAGCTTTCAAATTGTCCTAATAAAATGATAGACTTTCGCACAAATCCGGGAAAGGCTGACGGCGACAATGGAAAATACAGTAACACCAATATACCAGGTAAGCAAAAAGATCTCGTGCAATATCGATATTTATTGAGCTGCTCTAAACTTTTTTTCTCGCGATCGTTTTAATTTTCTTTTGGTAATTAACAAAAAATTTCCTTGAACATTGACGAGCAGAATATCGGCTATCATGTAATTATGTAATCTATAATTATCTCATCATGAATGTTTAGTTGCTTATTTAATTATTTAGATCTGTAACGTGGTGCGTTTCTAACCTCTTCATTGAGGTTATGAATATATAGTCATAATTTCTTTTTTTAAATATCAATGACATTTATAATTATAAGACTGTCGAAAGAGAATATACGTTGCGTTTATACAAGTTGATAAAAAATAGAGAATTATTTTTTTACTGGTGAAAATAATCATCGCGCGAACTCCAGCTTCAATTTTGGACTGTTACAAGACAAACAAATCGAGATGCAGTTTGAACTAGAAATTGTAAAATTAACAAAACACCAAGATCTGAATAATGTCCATTTTATTCAATAACATCCTTTTTTACTAATGCAAATAACTTCAATCTCGTTTGAACTTATTCTTCATCTTTTACTTATTTTTACAATCAGGAAAAAGATGAAAAGTTAAACTGAGATTAAAAATAATTTACATGGTGTGTGTGTATATATGTATATATATATATATTATATACATATATATATAAATGACATAAAATTTCCTTTGTTTATTTGTGTTATAAAAATAATGTGTCTTGTTACATAAAAGATACATAAGAGTTTATAATAAATAGAGTTAATGAATTTTATAAACGAGTTATAAACAATAAATAAGTCACTCTTGATACCTTATATTGCTTGTTAAGAAACTTTAATTTTATTTTTCAGTTACGTCACAACAAGGATTAGCTTCACTTAGTCCGTATTTAAATTTTGACCCATCATACCTACCTGTTAGTCAGCCGGAATTCATATTTCCCGATGGTGCTATGAAACAAAGAGGCCGTTTCGAGTTAGCTTTCAGTCAAATTGGAGCTGCATGCATAGCAGGCGCAGGGATTGGTGGCGCGTCAGGTTTATACAGAGGCGTAAAGGCAACGTCTATTGCCGGCGAGACTGGCAAACTCAGAAGAACACAGTGCGTTATTATTTTTTGTATTCCTTTTGATACCTAAAAAATTGTACATATATGTATCTTCTTTCCAGATTGATTAATCATGTCATGAAAGGTGGCGCCAGTATGGCAAATTCGCTTGGTGTGATTATGATAATGTACACCTGTGCTGGAATAGGTCTAACTTGGCTCAGAGGAACCGACGACTTTAGCCGCAGCTGCTACGAGTGCTGCGGTATTCAGATCGCCTGGTATGGAGCCTGATCATTTACATATTGTTTATTTGCTACAACGACGTAATTCAAAAATTGTCATTTAATTGCTTTCAAAAAAGGAATAGAAACATATAAAAAAAAATCTACTTTAAAAGTATGTATTTTATTCTTCTACAATCATTTATTTATTGTCCTTTATATAATTAAAGTTAATGATTCAAAATATCTAAACTTATTTTTTGGAAAACTTTCTTTAGTTATTGTAGCAAATAAAAGATACATAGATAATATATTTAAGTAAATAGTATCTCTTTTTTGTATTTAAAAAAAAATTTCTTAAAGTTAGAGAAATGCTTAAGGTGGCCACAGACGGTGCATTCACCCTATATCACAAGTTGTTGTAGTAAATGAATAACACATATATTAGAAGTTATATTACTCATAATAAAGTTGTGTATTTTTTAATTTTAGCCGGGATCAGAAAAGCTGGCATTGCAGGCGCTATTGCAGCAGGGGTTGCAGTGATGTACTGTGCCTGGAATAATGGAGGCATGTCGTTACATCGTGTGAATAGATGGAAACATGCGGCGTAAGAGTGTGTACATATTTCAGCAAAAGATTAGCTAAATTGCAGTCATAATTTAATATTTTTACCGTATATTTCATTACTGCTATTGCTACAACAATACCGATAGCAGTGTTATAATATTGAAAAGGTTAAAGTTTTCACATTATAACATTTATATATCTAAAAAAGATACTGCAATAAGGATGCACATAAAAAAATATATGCATATATATGTATATATTACTTACAATTAAAATGTTATGATTTAAAGCAGCGATGCACAATTTTTTTAAACTGAGAGCCATTTAAAATCTTGCGGACCACATAATGTCTATTTTGATTGGCCATATATACATAAATACATAATATATACACACACATATATATACATATATATATGTGTGTGTGTGTGTGTGTATGTAATAAACAGATTTTATTTAATTTATATAATTTTAATTTATATAATTTATATAAATTTTACATACATTATAAATAAGAGAGAGAGATTTATAAGATGTAAAATATATAATAAGAATACCATTTGTTTTATATGTTAAATGTTATAATTGAATAATGTGATGTTTTTTTGTCAAAATTTATGACAGTTACCATATGAATTTTTTACATTGTAGAAAAAATATTGTTATTGTATAAAAATAATATGTTATGGATTAATACTAATGCAGTGAAGTAATTCGAAGATTTTATTTATTACAAATTTAGAGAAATAATCTCTTTATTCTGTTTGTCCATTTGACTAATACGACATTTTTGTATATAAATTATAGAGATAGAACACATTAAATATGCGACATGAATGTAGTATTTCATGAATTTGAATCCCGCAGCGAAATTTTTGTATCACGTCAGGTTTTTCAGAAATTGAGATCAAAATATTATTTAAAAAAACGCATTTTTAGCCATTTTTTAAACAACATTACAGGTAAATCTGATGTGATACAAAAATTCAGAAATGAAAGATTTACGTAAGATGATATACCTCATCCATGTTACACATTTGATGTCCACCTGTGTTATTTTCCAGAATAATGAATTGTCCCAATTTTTGTAATTATTCTTATCGCGCTATAAATCAGGCATAAATTAGCAATTAATATATAATGTATGTAAAGAATTATTAAATAATGTATAACAATAGAAAAAGTCTTTTGCGGAAGTGTCAAATTTAATAAATATTCTAATGTAATTTCTTGTTCTTTCTTTTTGCAGATTGATATAACATCCATACTATAAAAGAGATCTCCGATGCGTTTTCATATCTTTATGTTACCTTGTACATAGAAAAACTTACGTATGACGCAAATAAATTATTGAAGGAATGTTAGAAGAAATAAATTTATTGAAACCAACCAGTATTTTCAAATAAACAGACTGATATAATATGTGCGTATATTTACGATTTAATATTGTATATATACTCACCCGCAAAAAATATAAGCCATCGATACAATGACCCATATTTTTTGCGGGTGAATATATTTTAATAAGCCAAATAATAATAAGTCTCATTTGCAAATATAAAATTATAATCCCGAATACACATACGTTTTTGCGAGATCGACGGCGATTTTATTTGTTGAATAGGCATTGCCAGAAAGGCGTTAATCTTATCAAGGCTTATCTCACTATCAGGTCTTGCGCATATTACGGGAACGGGAATATGTTAGAGTATATTCGATCGTGTATACGTGCGTATGTATCGAACAAATCGGAGTATCTATAATTCATCAAAGCTTAAAAAAACGAATAGGCGTACAAATAATTTTAAACAGGACGAAATTAGAGAAAATTATTTATGTGGCTGTCATAACGGTATGTGATTTTTACATATAATGAAGCCATTGTACGAGGCATAAAGCATCGTGTTGCATCATACATTGATAATTAGGAAGAATAATGAAAATTTTGTGGATATTTTTATTAAAGTGATTTACATATGATCAATCTATAAGTGCGTTTGGGCAGACGCTATTAACACTATTAGTGTCATTCTATCCTTGTTTTACATCTAATAAACGATGAAGATAGAATGACACAAATAGCGCCAGTAGCGTCTCCTCGAACGCATCTTATATCTTACAAGTAAGAAAATTAAAGCGATTACAAACGGTGTTTGTCTATTTAAATGCAGACGGCAACGTACAAATATTGGAACTTTCTAGATAATTATGATGTACTTGAATCGCGATTCATTTTATACATAATAATCGTATTTTAAAGATGAGAGAAATATTTGAAAATTAACCGAGCTGAGAAATTTCCAACTATAAGAAAGATGAAAAATCGAATTTGTACTGTTTTGTATTGTGTTTTGTAAAAGAAATAAAAGTTTTTCTATTTGTAGAACGAAGCGTACACTATTTTGCAAGTCGGCAATAATCGGTTACTTAATTAACGAATTAATTAGCCGTGAAGAAGTGGAGAAATATAGATGGTGCTCGTCGCGTGGATGAAGCAATAGAAGGCTGAACTCAGCGCGCACCAAGTCAATATTTGATCCATAAGAATCACGACCGTTGTCGAACGTAAGCTGTGAGATGATGAGAGAATATTTATAAAAATGTGCGCCTTATTTAAACAAGAACACACACGTACGCGCGTAAATTCTTGCGTATACAACATATGTTATTGCACGAAGCGCAAGAAGTCTAGCAAAAGTAGTTACTTTGGATTCTCCGACGCCGATTGACGTAATTCTGCATGAGATTTAAGGAAAGCAGTTAAGTTTTAGAGTTAAAAATCATCAATCACCGAAACTTTCTAACTCTAACAAAATTTCCTATAGCTCTACGGTTATTTGTAGCTATTTATTCCTTGAAAATTCGATTTTAATTTAGGAAAAAGAAATTAAATATTTCTCTCTAAACGTTTCTTTTTCCTCAGAAATTTAAGTATAAATGTATTACTTTTGTAATTTTATTAGAGCATGAATCGAAATAACTTTTCTCGCTTTGAATTGCGAAAAAAGAAAGAAAACGGAAAATTAAAAATCTTGATTACTTTTTTATCTTTATTATCTTTTATTATATCTTCCTCTTTTGTTATTAAATTTCCAAGACTTGATCTCACCAAGTTCTTTTCAAATCGCATACATATTGCATATTGCATACCGTTTGCGCCGCATTGTCCTCGTCACAAGCAATATCATCGAATAATAAATATTAACTTTCCATAAAAAAGCAAAGTTAATATTAATTAACAGTTAAGTTTCAGAATTAAAAAATATCGATGGTCGAAGCATTCTAACAAAATTTCTTTTATATGGTTCTACAGCCGTTTGTAGTCATCTGTTCTTCAAAAATTTGATTTCGATTTGGGAAAGGAAGAAATTAAATAGTTTTCTCTTTTTTTCACAAATTTAAATATAAATGTCGTATTACTTTTGTAATTTTATAAAAGCATGAATCGAAATAATTCTTACTCTCTTTTGAATCTTGAGAAAAAAGAAATAAATAAAAAATCTTTATTACTTTCTTTCCTCTTTTGTTAAATTTTCAAGATTACCACAAAATTTTTCTCAAATCGTATACATTATTGCGTCTGCATCGCAATCCTGCAACGTCGAAATGTGATCAACGTTTAACTGCATTTGTCATTAAAAAACAGGTGATGCTAATTAACCTTAATTAACACCTCTGCATTTAGCTCCAGCTAGATAGAGAGTGAAGAGTTTTATTATCCGATCGGAGCTCATCAAGTAGTCAACCTTTCAGTCAGTCTGTTATCTGCGATTCTCGCGCATATGTACATATTCGAATTGTCGTGAGTGTTCTATCGTTTACACGTTCAATCCCGCCACTTTATTTACGTTGCAAGTTTGATTAATGACTTGACGGCGTATTTTTCAAGCTTTGTCAGCCGCTTATTATAACAGCTTGTGTTGAAAACTAGGGCAACGAATGCTTTTGCTATATATAAGTAACATGTGTTTTATTTTAATCTTTTAAGTTTTTAGTAGATTAAATTTGTGCAACGCGTTTTAGTTTTCTTCTAATATTCCTTCGCGGAGTAAAACATGCAAAAAGAAATTTAACTCTCGCTTTTAGCTATGTTTAATTGATTCTTTGTTTTTGTCTAGATTTGTATCTAACATCTATTACAATAATAAATATAGGCAGTGTTGAATTATTCAGTCTATTATTATAAGCATTAATTGCTTGATAGTAAAGATATATATAATTAGGAATTATACAAAAATACAGAAAGTATTATTAGATAAGGATTCATTTTTCTGCACTGTGGGAAAATGAAAAATATTATTAATAGACACAATATTGATTTGGCATTAAATTAATATTGTTTGATAACAATATTAATTTCACTCAAAATTATAGAGCGGAATTTAATGATGTATATATATTTATACATATATATATGTATGTAATATACATACTATATATATATATATTATACACGTATTTTTAACAAAATAGAAAAATTATGAAAAAATTATAGTTTTTCTGTATTGTATTTTTGAAAATAATACAACAAATTTTTTAACGATTTAGAATCTAGATAAAAATTATTTATCAATAAGAAATAGACATGTTTTCTAAAAATAATTAAAGTAAAATGAGAAAACTTTTATTTTTTTTTAATTACAAAATTATATTGTTTAATATAAATATTGTCCTTATTGATCAACTATTTCATATGTATATAACATTCATGCATTTTTACACATAAAGTATATATTTCCAATTCTAGTCACTTTTTGCAAAATTAATATATCCAGACAGCACACAATATTTATAAAATATTTGTAAATATTTATAAGATTTATTTTGAATATTTTGTAAATAAATTCTGTGGTCTTTAAAATTGAACAAATCACAAATATTTATTATAAATATTATAAAATATTTATTGTAAAAGTTGTGGTAAATTATAATCCAAAAAAATACTAGAAATAATTATTTATAAAAAATACTTACTAAAAATAATTATTTATCATAAAAATTACATAAAATATTTAGTGTATAGTTTAATGATATTTTGAATAAATTATATAAAATATTTATATAACATTTCAAAAAATAAATAATAATAAATATTTATCATAAATATTCTGTGCTGCTTGAGTATGTACCTGATATATTCTTAATATACGAGACATAACAGTATATCGCATTTTACGTTATTTAATCATATTAGATATTCTAAAATTTATAATGAAAACACCGCATCAATGATGGAAAACTGATCTCGCCCGAATGCGCGAAACTGGGTGTGCGCATGATAGAAGACAGATGAAATTGAGAGATTTAATCCGCTGAAAATAGATCTGTCGAATATGGAGAAACAGCTTCTCTAAAATATTTGTACCGTTCTCAACCTGTTTCGCGTATTTTACAATCCTACGCGAATCTTCACGCCTTACGTTTCCTGTCTATACGCGCTATTGAATCTAAATCTTGATAATAATATCTTGAAAAAAATATTCCGAGACCTTGAAAAAAAGTTTCGGAATAACAAATAAAAAGTCAATGACAAAAGGTCACTCAAAATCAATTATACAGAGATTAAATAAAGTTGAACATGAATGCAATAATTAAAATTAGCATTTGTCAAATTTTCCTTTAGAATTAAAACACGTGACTTATTAAAGACTTATTAAAGACTACTATAATATGAAGAGTTTTAATTAAAAAATCAACAATATTTTTTACTTCTTTGATATATAATTGTCGATCATAATATTTTTATCGATCGTCTCTTCCATTATTTCATATGATTATTAATTACTATTATTATATATATAGTCAACAAAATTAGTCATCTAGCTTATTTTTTTTGTATAAATCAATTAAGAGAAATAATAATATATTTTTGATTGCAACAGATTTTTCTGCTTAATAATATTCATGTGCAAATTTTTACAAATACATTGTTCACTTTTAGAAACTATGCGCCGAGTTTGTCGAATTTGAAACGCAATCGCAAACAGAAGCTCAATATATAATACATATATATTAACTTTAACTTCTTAAGTTAGATTGATCGTCAATTTAATAATGATATTAATAAGCATCTTAAAAAACTTGCAAAGAATATGTATGCATGTGTTTTGAAATAAAAATTCACACAGAGAGAAAAACATAAAATTATAAAGTTTAACATTTATATAGTTGAACTATTTTATAGATGCAATAACTATAAAAATAACTTATTCAACTATATGTATTAATTCTTATGTAAAACTTGTATATATATATATATATATAATTATTACCATTATGTTGTTTTCTCTGAGTAGGTTCTAATTTAGGATTAAGATGATGTAAGAAAAATGACATTTTTAACTCTGTGATAGATCTATAAATCTGTAAATAAAAAACAGGACGAAGAGATCAGGCTCATAAAATTTATTTTCTCTATCTTCCAGATAAACTCATGCCACGCGTCATACACGATCAAGCTGTAATTATTAAAATATGAATGAAGAAAGAATCTCTTTCCATGGAGAATAAGATGGATGTTTAGCCATATTATACCTTCTGCTGATGAACATTTTTTAACGACAAGCAAGTGGATGCGTACAAAGAGTTCTTTCCTAACTGGTACTTTGGATAGTTCGGAGGAGGCATTATAAGAAGCAATTATGAATTCAAAGCAAGCGGAAATATGGCTGGCGGTGTTGTATATCGGATCCATGATATTCTCCGTCACGTCTGTTATATCTCTGGTGACTACATGGCAGAATTGGGTAGTAACGTTAGACGGTTGCATCGACGTTGATTGCGGCTGTATATTGTACGGTATCAATACATTTCGCACATTTCTCGGCGGCGACGAAAAACTATGCCATTTCGCCGCGTACGCTCTCACACCCATCATAATAATCAGCTTGTGTCTTGGCGCCTATCATGGATACAGATGTTGCATACATAAAAACTTAAACGAACCTAAACAAATTAATGGGGGACAAATGTACAATGACGACAGGTGCTTATTCTTCTCATTTCTTATTTTTATTTATATAATTATGCATATGTTTTTCGAATTAAATTTTTCTTGTAGAAGAAATCATAATGGGTATGTTGTGGTCCATATAAAGAAGAGAGTTACTTTTAAGAGGTGGATGCCTATCGGTTTCCTCGCAGCGTTGGTCTGCTGCCTGTCTCTCGCCCACGCGGTCGTGATAACCGATGGCTACTATAAAACTTGCGAACAGTATAGACGAAATCTCATTCAACTCTTGGGTTCGAGAGGCCGCGAAATTTTAGTAAGATGAACGGTTTTTTTTCCAACTTAATCCTCTGGAGCTGATGTCAAAATCTGTAACATAGTTACTCATGCTGTGTCTATAGTCTATAGAATCCATTTAATTAATGTTAATTGAAGGGCATCAATTAATTTCAAAGGACTAAAATGACACAATTTGTATACTATAAAAAAAAACGAATGAATATTAAATATATTTTAATAAAAATAATTTTTATAGATGTGTAAAGAAAATTGAATTGATCGACTTTTTGACAAAAAGGTTTATAATAATGATATTAATAGATAGGTCAAAAAGTTGAGTGGGATCATTCGACTTTTACTGTCAGTTCCGGAGGGTTAAATAATTTCAACGACTGATATATTCCAAAAGTAAAATGAATTTAAAGATTATGACTCTATTTTAATTTATTATATTTTTATGTACAGGCGATTCATAACAGGTTGTCGTGCGGTGCAATTTTCGATTTCATGGATTATGTTGAGCCAGATAAGAATAACTGGAGTCGCACCGAGATGAACACCGGGATCGCGCTTCATCTCGCAATATATACGAGCTGGTTCAATTTCGTCGCTTGGATGGTCGCGTGCTCTATAAACTTCATCATGGCGAGGAAAAGGCAGCGCAAGTTAGGAGAAAAATTTTGTTGCTGTTGAATGACATCCTTTATAAAATTAATTAGTGGCAAATTCTTTGACAGTATTTTGGTAAAATATGATATAATAAATGAGGATTTCCTCTGAAGAAATATAACAGAACATAGGTTATATATTCGCGTATATAATTGATACTCGTATTAATAGTATACATTTTATTTATGTATTTTATACAGAGATATAGTGTTTTCAATAACTATTTTCTTCGTATTTGTGCCTAATATCAAAAAATTAAAGATTCATCTGCTCTGCCGTGGAAAATAATCGCGTTCCTCTTTCATATTCTATATAATCCCATTCTCTTTATACATTTTTACACGATTTTTATTACTATATTACACATACACATGTGCGCACACATTGGAACTATATTTTTGATCGTCCCATGAAGTTTAAAAATCCACACTGTGTTAAACTTAGTATAAACGAGAGCGCGTTATTTCTTTATTATCTTGTTGAAATATGATAATTATATTATTCATGATAAAATTGGTAAAAAATACTCTATAACCTGTTAGTGCAGGCAGTGACACAATTTAAATATAACTAATAAAATATATCCGTAAAACTTCCCGACACACATATTTAGGACATTTATTTTTTTCCTGCGTGACATACATGAAAAAGAATACGAAGAAGAAAAAACCTATAAACCATACAATAAATAAAACAATATGTGAAAATTTAAAGAAGGAATGTATCGTATCTATATACTATATACGCGTAGAAGTAAATCATAAGAATTTATACAATCGAATTATATTCTTCTTAGGGTGTTAAATTAAAAATGCTCAGTATTTCCTAGTACCTCCAGTTAGTTCTATTTTATACATGGTGCACAGAATGATGAAGTATATTATTTTAAGGCTTGGAATAACAACGGTTCTTCCGTATGTTCAATAAATACATTGAAATTATTACTTCTCGTTGAATTTTCATCATGTCGGTTCGCTGAAATTTAATGTTTAATTTTCTATGTTTACATAAATAACTCTTATTTTTCCAATGACGACATTAAAAATATGTTTTAACTTCCCCTATAAATATACATACATCTCACCGTTATGTATAGGAACTAAACAGAAAACAATTTCTTAGATACATTATCCCTTACATATACAAATACAATTGACTCTGTTTATCTTATAATACTATCAGCTTTTATTCTACACAACAGCAGAGACTTGCAAGCTTGAACGCTACTCGATAAAGGAAGGCACCTAAATCATACAAGCTATAATATCTACAAATTATGTTACATTTTGTTATATACATATATATGAGGCGGGGCATTTTAATCGCTATAGGCAGATATCTAGAGAACTAAGAGAGATAAAAAAGTTGTATGTAAAAGTTATAAATTTTCTTGGGAGGAAGAAGAAAATAACGGATTTTAAGAGCTATACTAAGGTCAAGATCAACATAAATTCTTTAAATGAAAACTCCTATTTTTTGTTGTATATTTTTGTTGTATATTTTAACTGACGTCAAGACGTTTTCAAAACATTGATTATAATCAATTATAGTTTTAAGTTGAAAACTAGAGTGCAATCTATTTCAGGCTGCAAATGCTTTGAAATATTCTTTGATTGATCAATTCAAAAAATTCTTTCTTCCTGATTAGCTGACGAAGCATTTGCAGCGTTAAATGGTTCGCACTTTAAAAAATAGGGGTTTCCGTTTAAATAAAAAATTCATATCTACTTTGACTAGTTCTTGTAACATCTCCTATTCAAAATTCGTTTTTCACTTTCTTTCCTCTAAAAAAACATACATTTTACGAAATTTTATATAAATTTTTTTACCTCTCTCAAAGGGATGCTGGAGTAACCAAATTATCACATTACAATCGTATAAAAATCTTCGAATTGACTGAACGGAATAAAATATCCTTTTACAGGATTAAAGTAGACGCAAAATTAGATGGTGCAATGGATTTTATACTAAAATCAAAAGAATGTTAAAAAATTTTTTAACTTTTTTTCGATTTTAGTACAAGGTTCACTGCACCACCTCCTAATTTTGCGTCTACTTCAATCCTATAAGAGGATTTTTTATTCTATTCAGTCAATTCGAAGATTTTTATACGATTGTAATGTGATAATTTGGTTACTCCAGCATCCCCTTAATGTTAATTCTCTCCACTTGGGACAAAATGTCCCATTTATACTGCACACACACACATAGATTACAAACATTTTTTTAAGGATGTATTAGACATATAATCCCTGTAAAGAAAATTAAATTTGGAATATTTACACTTCAAATAAACTATATACATATGAAAGTTGTGAATAAGATAATATTTTTGTTTAATAACACATTTTTGTAGTTTATTTATTTTATTTATTATTATTTTTATTGTTAAAAATTAAAATTTTTTAAATGATTAAAAAATTTATATTTCTTTTATAAGTACTTTAAATATTCAAAATAATTTATCGATTCACTTCAGTTACAAATATATAGAACAAATAAATATTTTGTTTATTTACTGGACAACTAGTTCATGCATCACAATGTAACTCTACGTAAATAATCTTAAATATATAATGTACTTATATTAAAAAGTTAAGATTTTTATCATTTATTTGACAATACATTTCCATATATTTTTATTAAAAGACAGATTAAAAGAAATACTACTATTTATTAAAATAACTTATGATCCAGATAAATTGTCACCAAATTTGTCGTATTATTTTTAAACGTGATTTAAAATAATCTGTAATGTCTTCATAATTTTATTACTTTGAAAATATGTGTAAAACATCCTTAAATTATATCTACACACACACACACACACACACATTACGCACGCACGCACACGCACGCACACGCACATATGTATATATTGTCACATCTCTCTTTTTACACTGAACTAGATTCTTTTCATAGAATCGATTAAAAAGGCGCAGTATATTAGCAATAAAAAATTTGGTTAAATTAATTTCCAAAGTTATATAAAACGTATTAAAATTCAATTGCTGAAATCGAATAATTTAACACATACAAGATATTCTCTCAATGTGAGATAGAAAAATTAACGTCGATAAGTATTCTTACTAGTACTTATATACTAAGTACTAGTATCACATCTACTTTTCATACATTTTATTTAACAGTCTCCATCATAAGGGGCACAATAATCGCGTTATCAGTATTCGTTTCGAATAATTTGTGTCTATGAACCGTAACATTGTCAAAACATAGCTATCTTACACAATGTAAATGTAAATCGAGACTGTTAAACAATAAGTCAGTCTTACACGATAAGGCCAATTCTATAGGCGAGCCTATTCGCTCCTTTACAAATGTTATGAATCGCTTCACAATGCTATTATCTGCGCCTTTGTAACACTAATTTCTGTAAATTATTCATTATGTTAATCTTCGTAAGGAATACTTTGTTATAATCTCTTCTTCAAGAGACCATAAATATATATAATAAAAATTTTCTCTTTTTTACCAATTTTGCAATGAATTACGTTTACAGATATATATATGTATATAGTACACAGATTAACTTTCTTAGAAAAATTGCTTTGTATGAACTAGTAGATTGAACTAGTAGAAATCTACAAATTTTGTAAAGTACAAACGTAGTGAAAAGACTTAGCTGCAAAAATAGATGCACGAGCTTTCTCTACCTAGTTTTATCATTTTTGGTATCGAGCTGCCAAGTTCCACAACCTGATTTTATGTTAAAACATAAGTTGGGAAGTGTCTCTCTTTCTCTCTCTTTCTCTTTCTCTCTTTATCTTTCTCTCCTTTCCTTTTTCACTCTTTCTTTTCAACATTTAAAAAATCAACAGTTTTCTTTAATATAGGTAATGTCTTTTTCTGTCAATTTCTTATGGCTATCTGTCTTGTCTGTGTAAATCTTCTAAAAATACAAAAAGTAATTAAAAAATGGTAGTATATGAATTAATACTTTCCGACATTAGTGTAAATCACGCTTTATACGATCCATCACACGTTTGTCAGTTAGGCATGTGTACATATAAATATATCTGCTCATGCTGTATGCCTTCTGATATAAACATATGCAGCTATTTGCTGCTATCGTATCACATTGTCGACGTTTGTGAAAAAATGCACGGATGTTAAAAAGATGTTGATGACGATCGTAGAATTTTATTAATTTGAGAGCAATTTAAGCATTTAAAGAAGCAATTTCTAATACTGCAACATTCGATATTCGGCTTAATCATAGAGATAAAAATTTTAAATATTACTTTTTGCAATTTTCCACGAGAGATCTATTAAATAAATTAATTTCTCTGACTTATTATTATTTTTTCACAAACGCGCATTCCGAAAACAAGCATATAAAACAAACGCAACTTTATTCACTCGGAATTTCACTCTGCGTATTTGCGCGTCCGAAAAACAAATTGTCTTAAACGCAAACGTTTTCTACATATGTACAACCTGTGTATCAACTCCCAGTTGGAAATTTTATCATATCATTTTTACTATCTATTAAGATTAATATCTTGTTAACGCTGTTAATGTGTGTGCATTCACAATACACGTAATAAAACTCTGACCAATCAAATAATTTTGTGTGTATAGAACGGTGTGTTTACCGATGTTTATCTCTACAATATACACAACGAATTAATCAACTATATCATATCGCTGATCCTGTGTTGCTAATAAACGGCTTTGTATTAACTAGCTCCTAACAAAAACCATCTCATTTCAGGTGAACGGATTGCTCCGCCTTTTCAACGATCCAAATCGCTTCTCCGACGCTTCGCGGATCACCTCGAAAGGCGCTACCTTCATTCGACCGGCTTGCCTCTCTTCATTCTCATCGCTGGGGAAATCCTCGAAGCTCATGTTGCTGAAACCAGCGGTCGCGGCCGTGCTCTTCTTGCCCTTGGGTGTTTTCTTGTGACTTACCGATTTGGTCTTGTGAGATGCCTTGTAAGTCGGTAATACATCGGTGACGTCACCGTGATTTTCATTGATCAAGTGGTATTTGGACTTGTCCGATTTGGATTTGTCTTTCTTGTTGTGTTTCGGCGTGTCGTCATCCGCAGCGACCAGAGGCTCGGGCGACATGGGTGATATCATATTGGATGTGATGTCCATCTTAGAGACGCTGTTGACTGCGTGCACGGTGATCCTTGCGGTATGCGTGGTCGTTTGAATCATATAGGCGGACGGTTGCGGCTGTGATGGCGGGGTGGGTGTTAAATGAACGATGGTATTCTTTGGGGACTGCACGACGCTGCTGATCGGCAATGCCGTCGTTAACGTGACGTTGTCCACGTAGTTCGGCGACTGTGACTGCAACTGTGACAGCGACTGCGACAGCGACAGAGACGTCGGGCGTTGCTGCTGCTCATTGAGCTTCAGCGAGGCGAATTCCTCGAACGGAATCGACCCGAAAAGATCCTTGGACGGTTCCGCACTAATCGTTGGATCGGAGTTCACCGTCACCATGCCATATTTCGACGTGGACGCGATTGTGCTCGAGTGACTAGTGTAATAATTGTCCGATGCCACATTGTGGGACTGCAGTGAAACGCAGTTGGCGTAATCAATGTAAGAGGAAGGGCCGACTGGACTCAGGATTGATAGGGGCTGAGTCGGCGCGGAGTCGATGTTCGAAAAATTGGACTGAGCGTTGTTAAAGGGATTGGTGAATCCGCTCGGGCTAAACGGGGAGGAACCGAAGAGGTCCTTCTCAATGTTCTCCTCCTCTTCCTCCTCCTCGGCAACGCTGACGTGAGGGCTGTTTTTGACTGGCGACGACGTTTGGACAACGCTCGGCTGATGGAACGACACTGGCTCTTCGTAAATAGTCTTGCTATTCACGATTGCGATACTTTTGGAATATTTACAAGAGAGAACGGCGGACTTGGACGGAGGTGCGGGTTTACTTTCCACCACGTCCGCAAATACCTCCGCCGGTATAGGCGAGCTCGAGATCGGCGTCACCAGATTCGAGTTGTGAGGCGAGTTCCTCGCACTGCCGCCTAGATCGATGTTCCTGGACTCGCTCTCGCGACTGTCGCTGCTCTTCCGCGAGCTGCTGGACCTCGGAAAAGGTGCCAAGGCGAACACGTCATCCTCCACTTTCCAGATCCCATTGTTAAGTGACTTGGACTTGTCGTTGTCGTCGGACGAACTGTCGCCATTATTAAACAGCAGCGGCTTCGAGCCATATTGATGCCGCACAAAAGGATCGCCGTGCGACTGCTCTGGTTTCGACTCGGGGTCCAGCTCGTCGTCCAGCAACAGCGGCTTCTCACCGTACTGATGGCCAACGATCGGATCCGCGTCGATTGTCGGCAGCTGTTGTTCCTGCTGCCGATAGTGGTGCTTCCTCGGCCTCTTCATCCTGTAATCATCTTCGTGTGTCGCAACAGACTCGCACTCCGCGTGATACGCGGAGCTGCCACACGTGCGCACGCTCTCGGAGATGGTCTCGTCGTGCTTTCCGCACACGTCGCCGTCCTCGTCGTCCTCGTCGTCGTTCACCTCGCCGTCATTACCTTCCTCGTCGTTCATCGCGCGTAGATCGCTGGCCGAGCCGATCGAATCGTCCGACTCGTAATCCACATTCGTCGCGTTCTCCGCGTTGTCGTGCAGCTGGGCGGCGACTCTTCTTCTACGGCTCAGCACGTTCTTCACGCGCCTTCTCTTTGCCTTCTTCGCCCGCTCCTTCACCTCCTTGGCATCCTTGTCGCTATCACTCGATACCTCATCGGCATTGAACGCTAGCTTCTCGTACTTGGAACGGTCCTCCGCCGGCGCACGGACAAACGGCGGTGAAACCGGGCTGGATTCCGTGATCAAGGACGCCTCGTCGTCCACGCCACCAACGCTGCCACCGT